TCACTGGTGTCCTGCCATTAGTAAACTGGGGAAGGGTGAGGGGAACAAATGGACAATAAAACTGTATACCACTATGGTGGGAAGTTGGGAGGGGGGATTGACAGTTGAGGAAGAACAGAGCGTTTTCGAATCTAGTTCTTGCCTGACATTGTCAAGGCTGTTGACCTGAGAATGGAATTTTATCAACCTAAACACCTCAGCTCTTCCCAAAACATATTGGCAGTGCCGGATTAGCTATACATTGATGGGACCATGGGGGGAGGGCTGGGGTAACCAAGGGGTTAGTTTTGTATTGATGTGTGGGAACTTTAAATTCCGCCTGACTCTACTTGCAGTCAGTATCTCTTGGTAAAAATACCTTTCGCTTCAGTCAAATGGAGTTGAGAGTTTTTCTTCCCTAAGGGATCAGACTGGGGCAGGTCTGACACATGCAAACTGAGGAATCCTGAGAGTGAGTTAAAGTTCTTAAAGTTGTTGAGGTTGAGGAACGCTACTCTGAAATCTTTTTATATCTGACAATACAGACAAATTTTCAACATTTGTGTTTGTAACAGTAAGTACTTTGTTCCATATACTATACATTTTCACTATTAAAAAAACTGATGTAAATTTGCTTAATTTTGGAGATGGGTTGGTTTGAAACATTTCAGAACTAAGAATGATCTTCTTTCTTATGTAAGAAAATAAGGTTACATCCTGCTCTTCTGGCTATGCTAAAAAAAAGATTGCAAATAAGAGTGTTTTGTTAGTTTCCTATTTCCCACAAAATCTGTGTAATATCATCTAATCTTTTAAACTGACTGGTACAGAACAGCATCCTGGAAGAGAAGCAAATAGACTTCAAGACAGAATAATTGATCCTTGATCAGTATTTCATTTTTTCAGTATTAAATAGGTATATATATTAGCCATCTGCATGCTCCGAGTTGCCTGTATTGATTTAAAAGGATCATTAATCATTTTCATCAAGTAGATATTATACCTTTGTAGTGCATTTTGTTTCTATTTCATGTCTAAGAGTAATTTAAGTGTCTTTAGATCATTTAACTGCTGGTTTTTATTTATTTATTTTAATGGAATTGGTTAATACACTTGGATATAATTGTATTAGCTTGAAGTAATGGTCAACCATTAACTTAGGTTATTACTGGATTGTGGCTCTATTCTGTTAAAATTGTCTTCTATTCAATAGAGGCTGACATAACATTAGCTGTTTTGTTCAAACAAAATTCTCTAAGTCCATACAAAATTTTAAAAAGATGTATTATATTAACAGCACACTAACATCAATTTTCTAAGCAATTATTAAATATATTGAGTAAATGCATGCCTTGATATAAGTCCACTGAGTTCATCCAAATTACACCAATGAGATATTCATCCCGTTCTTTGTATTATAATGTTACCCAGCTTTTCTGTATTTTATGCTGGAAACATAAGTACCTTGTGTCTCCTTAAACTAATCAGAATAAGAAGCTACTTTCCTCTGCCAAAAAAATAGAACTATCATTTTTCACATTCTTATATTTTCCAGTTCAGTTTTAAGTCAGATTATGTTACTATGACTTCTGAATTCCTGAAAATTCTCTCATCTTAGTAACTGCAAAAGCCCTCCTGAGCATTTCAAAGAAAAAAAACATGAAGCTTTTTAAAGCAGTATGTTTTGTGTTGTGCCTACCAGATACAGTTCACATTTTGTGTGCATGTGATTAGAGTTGGGGGGGAATGCAGTCCAGTATTATGATTTATTGACAAAATCTTTTTCCTGCTGAATACTTGCCAAAAGTAAAAACTACCTCCCCCCTGCATATTAGAAACAGCTACTGTTTTAACTGCTGAATAGTCCTATTTCAAATTACAGGAGAAGCAACATTAAATCTCACATTAATAATATCCTTCTTCAGCCAATATTACAGAGTAAAACTATTGCTAATATGGCATATGAAAGTTAAAATTTCTTCCATCTGTTCTCAGATATATGTGCGTGTGTATATTTATAAATGTAAGCTTTGTTATCTTATATTTCAAATGAAAAAAACAATGTAAAGTATTTTTCTAATTCTTTGGCCTGCATCTGTCACACTCCAGGGCTTCCAGAAACTATATGTTTATATATTTTTCTATATATGTAGTAATTTTGAGTATTATTTAATTTTTTAAAAAATAATTTTCTTTACTTATACAAACAACTTTATTTTGCTAGAGTGCTAAAAAGTCCAGTGGTATCATTATGACATATTTCTGAGAATACAAACAAAAAAGTACGCAATTGCTAGCTAGAGTTATGTCTATATGGACTTCTTCATAACCAGGCAAAGTTCATTTAAGTAAAGAAGAAAAAGATGGCAGAACTAGGAAAATAAATGTCAGTGTAGAAATTACCACCAAATTCAAGCATTAGGAAACCTAGAAGTAAAATAGAAAGAGCTGCAGAACCTTAGTTTAGCAGTAGATTGTTTGTAACATTTTTCAGTGCTTACTGTGTATGCCACCATATTAGGCGACCCGGCGCATAAGACGACCCCCGTCTTTGGCGCCGAGTCACATTCCTAGAACGTCGTCTTATACGTCGGAAACTACCAGTATTTCCGGCGTATAAGATGACTCGGCGTATAAGACGACCCCCATCTTTGGCGCCGATTTTAGTGTTTGCGGAAGTCGCCTTATACGCTGGCATATACGGTACTGTTTTACATAAATCTTATAAACACCAGTTCTTGACATGTGCCTTAAATCCCAAGGAAGTTCAGATTTTCGTTCTGGGTACCAAGGATCAATATGCATGATGGCTCTATTAGTTTTGTTTCTTCTGTTCATAGTAGATTAGTATAAAATTTTAGTATCACTTAATCCCTTCCGCTGACCCTTTTCTAATCCATTCATAGACGTTTGAAATGGAACATTACAATTTATAATGAAATCATCTTCCACTGAAATACAACTGAAGAAGAAGAGTTAGAGCATCAGTATCAGTTTCTGGACAAGATTCTTACCGTAGAAGGATTATGGTGAAGAATTACCAGTTTACAACAGTTGGCTTCTTCCCACTAATGATCAATACCAGCCATCACTAAGTTGTTTGATGCTTGTCATACCACCTGCCATTGCTAACCAGAAAAGAAAATTAAAATAACCAACAAGAAAAAATATAATAGGCAAACATCAGATTAGGTCCTAAACACTCCAGCAGCAGCTATTTCTATCTCTGTCTGTGAGATAGAAACAAATTAGAAACTGACACAACATACATACAGTTGCTATTCTCCTCCTCCTCCTCCTCCTCCTCCTCCTCCTGGGTACCTTGCTGCAAGATTTAAAACAGAACCAGTAATTTGAATTGTAAAGAGTATCTACTTTGCAATTTTTCATCTCAGAGTCAATATACAAGGGCAATTCGGAAATAAATCTCCATTTGGTTATCAATGACAGACACTCGCAGATACAGAACTTTTATTATACACATTAGAAAACATTACATTACTTTTTGACATAATCGCCATTCAAATTGAGGTCATATCGTCTTACAAGTAGTAGTCGCTCTGCGCCAAATCTGGGCTTTGGGGGGGTGATCAAAAACATCCCAACGGGACTGCTTCAAAAGTTCTTGGGTGCATCTAGTGGTGTGTGGGTGAGCATTATCGCGAACCAACACCACACCGGAAGGCAGCATGCCCTGATGCTTGTTATGAATGGCTCATCTGAGTTTTCATAACGTTTCACAGTAGACGTCTGAATTGATGGTCGAACCACACTCCATGAACTTCACTAGCAGTACTCCTTTGGCATCTTCACATTTGGCGGGATTTTCTATGGCACCACTTCCAGTGTGGTGTTGGTTCACGATAATGCTCACCCGCACACCGCCAGACACACCCAAGAACTTTTGAAGCAGTTTCATTGGGATATTTTTGTTCCCCCCCCCATAGCCCAGATTTGGTGCCGAGTGACTACTACTAAGGAATTTCAAACCCTGTAAGACATTATGACATGCCTCAAATTGAATGGCAATTATGTCAAAAATTAATGTAATGTTGTAGTTTTCTAATGTGTATAATAAAAGTTCTGTATTTGCGAGTGTCTGTCATTAATAACCAAACGGAGGTTTATTTCTGAATTGCCCTCGTAGCTTGACAGAGTTAATATAGATAACTGGTCTTGTTTAATCTAAGTAATTGATACATTGTTGGAATGAGTATGGTACTGAAAATTTTGGGTTCAGCAGAGTGAATACATACTAAACTTCAAAGGATGTTTTATATATATTAATATGCTGGTCCAGCAGGTTTTTGGCTTAATGAAAAAGGATTTGAGAAAAAAACCTTAGGGATCTAACATAGTAATGCATATTAGCAGCTATCCCTATCCTAATATTCAGGCAATACAAAAAGTTTTAAAAGGATAAATATTACTGTAGGAAATTAAGCTTGGAATGGAAGCGTATAAAAGAATTGCATTTATAGATAATGTAGCATCATGTTACATTTGGGTTTGAGCCTTTAATTATCCTCATAAAAGAAATGTCACTTGTAAGATAATATATAAAGTCTTGTTACCATAAAAAGTAATACCTCATTCAAGTTGAGTTCAACTCCTAATGACTTCATGGGTCCGTTTCTCAGCAATAGGACCTACTGTATATAGGTTGGTTTGCCTTATTTCCAACCTATCCAACAGCACTGGAATTTTCTGAAATTCTCCTCCAGATGTTCATCAGGTTTAACTGTCTTTATATTCCAAGTTGATTTAGAAAAGATTGATTGAAATAGCAATTTTCAAGATAAATTCAGCAAAATGAAAATCTTAAAGTGGCTGGTGAGGGTACAGATTGTAATTCTGCTGATATTTAAAATTACCTTAAATTCTAAATTTAGTTGATGTGTCATATATCTGCATTGTGAGGGTTTTTCCCCCCCTATAGTGCTAAGTCTACTTTAAATAAGTATAATTCTACAAAATATCACATTGCCATATCAGTTTTAATCTTCGTTTTTTATTCACAGTTGCAACAAGCCTCTGAAGTGTCTCAGATGAGAGGTGCTAGAGTAATCTCTGCAGAAGATCTCATTTTTTTGATGCGCAAAGATAAGGTACAATAGTATAAATTAACTGATGCTATAATCCGTGAATTAGTTTTTTTCTCTAGTTACCCAACATGAAACTTCAAAAATTACAATTCAGTCACCATCATACCAATAAAATACAGTTGCCCCTCCTATATCAAAAAGCCCCTTCTCCTACTCTTTATACCGAAGAGGACAAAAATAGTTATTTCATTCCCACCCCATATTTGTAATATATGCTCCAACTGTTTGTAATTGTGTTTTGCAATGTCACTTATCCTACTTACTTTAGAAGGAAGGTATAATTGCAAGTGGAGTTGAAAAATCTTAAAAGATATTAGTAAAAAGTATAAACTGCTTAACTTTCAAAATTCCCACTGAAACCTGTAATAATGGTATAACAACAAACTTTTATGGCTAAACCTTTTTTCTCAATAGCTGAAATTATGGTTCTAAATATGTTTCTGTGTCTGTGTATAGAAAGGAGCAGAGTAATAATTTTAGTCCAAAGAACGGGAGATGGGATATGCCAAGAATTTGGTGCACGCTACATAATACCCAGAGAAAATCAAGCTGACAATGTTTTTTTTAGGATTGTAAAACTGTTTAGAAATTGACTACTGTAGAAAAATTAAGATCAGCCTCACAGGGTAGGTTGGCCCATGAAACTTCTAGAGTACCCTGAGTTCAGCCAGTGGGAGACAGAATGAGTCAAGAGTTTCCTTCATGGAAAAGCCAGACACCCCAGCTCCACCTAAGGGTCATATGCTTCAAGTTTTGCAAATTGAAAAATGATTTTTTTTCCATTTGAGATATATGAAAGTTGTATGAAAATAATGTCAACTTTCCAAAGAGGCTGATTTTGTGGGAACATAGCAACACAGCTCTGCCCTCTGACTCATTACTTCCCCTAAATATTTACTACTTTATGCTCTTTCTCTCTCCCTCTCTCTTGCCCCACTCCAACTCATTTAGTTTAAAATGATTGAAGCTGATTTTATTAAGGCAAATAAGAGACCATTATAATCAAAGTTATAAAGGGAAATTGTCTGTAAGACTTTTCACCAAAATACAGGAGATATAGAGGTACAGTAGCTTTTCAAAAAGAAAAAAAAAGTAACACATACAAGCATTTTTAGAAGTGTAAAATCAGAGGAAAGAAATGTTCCCCAAGTGTCATTTCTCCTGTTGATTATTGACAGATCAGAAATATTAGGTCCTTATGATTAAGAAAAAGAGGGGAACAATCAATCAATCAATTTTATTACAGTCACAGACCAGCAAATAAAAGCATTAAAACAACAACAACAACAATAAATAAAAATAAAAGAATATTGTGATTAACAGTGGGCAGTTGAAGTTTGCCTAATTTTATATACAGCATAGCAAAGTTTGGCCACATTCAGGGAAACTACTTCATACTGATCTGATAACAGTAGTTGCATGTAAAAAGAATAATTATTATTTCCTGGACATTTTATTAGGTAAGATGTTATAAACTGAGTCAGTGAGTCCTTATAGAAGATGCAGTATAGCAGGACATGAGCTGTAGTTTCAGTGGCCCCTTTTCCATAGGAGCACAGTCTCAGCTCATATATTTTTTTTATCGGCCCTCCCAAACTGCTGTGGGAAATACATTGCAGCTTGCTAAGGCTAATGTGCTCCGCACTTTTAGGACAGCTATTTGATATAAATATCTTGTTACTTTAAAAGGGGGAGTTTGACTGCTCAAATGAACATTCTTGGGAAGAGCAGCCATCTTTTGGATTTCCAGATCTTTAATAATTGTTTAAGTGCACTAAATGCACAGTCATACCCTGTCATTGGAAACACTTCCCTGGAGAAACCAAGACACTGGAGTACTTGTGAGATGGTCCTGAACCATGCTGATTTGAAATTGTCTTCTATAAGGAGAGAACTTGAACCTATAGGGAAAAAGAGTAGTTTTAATGAATGGCAAAAATGTAAAGGTAAGAGGGGAACATATTGGAGTGATTAATAAATTGAAACGATACTAAACAACTAGCTTCCTGAAAGCACCCTGTGAGTGCTTGTCTTGTTTTGAGATAAATTCAACTATCACCAAATTTAAGACATTGAAATAAAAGTGCTTGACTACAGCATGCTATTCTCATAGACTTTTATTCACACACCTTTTCTCTTTCTGAAGTAAAACAAAAAAGGAATTTAGATCCAAACTTCCTTATTTCCCAGTCTGGTCTGCTTATTGAACTGGCAAAGTAAGGTTTACCTGAATGAAAAGTATAATGAACACAAGAAAAAACTAATGTTGAAATATATCTGCACACAAGATACACTTGATTTGATATGCATTGTCAGACTTATGCTTGGAATTTCAGTTAACGTGAGTTTTTGCTGAATTCTACATTCTGTTCTGTAGAATAAGTATTGTCAATCTATGCATATAAATATGGATATATAATCTAAGATTGCAGTTACAATGCTTCAAATTTCTCCTTGAATTTTTAATGTTAGTAGGCAGTGTCTATGTCCATTTTTTTCTTAACTAGAAAAAACTTCGAAGATTACTTAAATACATGTTTTTCCGAGATTACAAATCTAAAGTTGTCAAAGGCATTGATGAAGATGATCTTCTTGAAGGTATGAGGCTTCCAGAAAACTTGTCTTTCTATGGGGAATATTCAACATATGTATCTATAGCACCAAATGGAAATATATTCCTCTTCTAGCTAGCTTTAGACATTCAAAAATAGTACTTAGTGGGAAACTTCATTTAAACCAGGGCTTTTCCATTCCAGTTACTTATAAAAGTACAGAGTGTTAGTCCATCAAACATTTGATAACCAGAACTGTTAATATCAAGAATTAAGTTTAGCTAAAGAACTGGTGCTGATTTATAGTCTTCTTAATTTTACAATTTGCATTTTCAAATTAATTTGAACTATAATTGAATTAATTTATTACAAAAATATTGTCAGCATCATTCTTTAAATTTGTCTAAAATTAAGATGAATGTTTGGTAAATATTTTTTTTTCATTTTAATTAGTTACTAGATATGTAATCACTGCAATTTGGTTGCATTTTCCCTAAAATTTGCTTCTATGGAATTTCCAGATATCTGGGATCTATTTTAAAATCCTAGTGCGAATGCAAATGGATTTGCAAAGGGACAATATGAGACAATGACCTTATCTTAATAAGGTCTTAATAGGGTCTTAATAATTGGGAGAGAGGAAGAAAGCAAAACAAACAACCCTCCCTCTCTCTAACCCCCTTTTTTGTATCAAGACAGCTGTCTATTTTCCTCCTCTGGTCTCTTTCAGACAAATTCAGTAGCAGCACTAACAAACGTCAGAAATCTGCTCAAGACTTTCTTATTTCTATTGATCAGACTGGGGAGCTCTTGGCCTTGTTTGAAGATGATGAGATAGATGATGTAAAGCAAGAGAGAATGGAGGTAAATTCTACCCTTTTTTCTAAACAAAGTATGAAAACTATTTACTTTACAAAATTAGATTAAATTAAATTAAATTAAATTCATTTAGTCCAATCCCTTGCTTTATAGGAGAATTCTTCATGCAGAGCATTCATCCACATATAATACTGACCTTCTTAAGATACAGTAAATGTGAGATCAATGTGAAAATTCTTTGGCCAGGCAAATACATGCTAAAGGAAAAGGCAAAACAATAAACATAGATTCCAAGCCACAAATATATTATTGTGCAGGATTCATGAAGTAAACACTTATAAAAGATTTCCATCAGTATTTTGGAGTTCCTTCCCATGTTTTCATCATTTTTAATTTTTACATGTTAAACTTTATGAGGCTACTTCTAGGATAAATCAGACAAATATTAAGGGGGGAAAAACTTACTGAAACTTAGAAAAAGTTATTCTGAATGCTATGACTAAGTAACTGTTAGTTACCATTTGGTTTTTAATCTGTCTACTTTTAAGCAGGCAGATCAAAACTAGCAAGGTGAGTCTAGCAAGGAGAAAACTGCAAGACTGAATGGTAATAATGACTCAGACTACAGAGGGTGAGGAAAGGAGAGGAGAGCCAGGTGACAAGCAATACCATCTTGTCAGGATTAGCAGAACAAGGCAAAGGAGACAGGAGACTGTATGTTGCATGGTACGTTACCAGCATCGCTGAAGTTTCTCCCATATAAATACTAAATAAATATCCTTCTATCTGAGTCGGAAATGTTTCATACAAATGCCCTACCTTCACTTTTAAGATCAGTACAAGACTAGCATTTTTCAGGCATGTCTAGGTGTTAGTTAATTTACTGATTAGTCAATTGATCATGTCAAGATAAATCACAGCATCAACTAACAAAAGGATAAAATAATTATAAGTTTTCTGAATAAATAAATAAATATACCAAATTACAGAGCAATGTATATAATATATATTCAGAAGTATATTCTGGAACAGCAGCCCCCAACCTTTGGATGCCAGGGACCAGCTCCATGGAGGGTGGTTTTTCCGCATACCAGGTGGCATGGTTTCACGTGCTGCCTGAATCCTGTGTGTGCATGGATGGGGCTTCACTTGCTTGCGCGGCCCAGTTCCTGGTAGGCCGCAGAATGGTGCCAGTCCACAGCCTGGAGGTTGGGGACCCCTGTTCTAGAAGACTTGCAAGGTCCCTTCCATTTCTGTTATCCTGTTATACTGATAAGGACATCACCTTTACACATGACTCCAATTTTTCCTATGTAACAAACTCTCAACTGAACACTTTAATATAAGAGAAGGAAGTAGAATAATTGGTTGTTGCAGTTCCAAAAGGTTGATTTATGCATAGGTTCTAAATACAAGGTTCTAATCAATCTTTATTATAGTGATGGACTAGCACTGAAGGTTCTAAATAAAAGACCGTTGCTGGGGCATATAATTGGCATTCAAATAAGATATGTGCAATGTCTTCTATTCTTGTAAATGTATCATATGGCATTATTTCTATTGTAATATTCGAGATTATTTTTCATGATCCCTCATGAAATTATATGGATATGGTATATTCATGGCTACCAAAAAAGGCTAGGAGAAGTAAATTTTCAATGTAGCTATGCATATATGAGCTAAGATATGTGAAATGTTTAGAAACAATGATTGTCTGATTTTATAACCTCTGAAAGTTGCTATTTCAGCCGCAGTGCAATGTGTTTAAAATAAAATTGGAGTAAATTAGCTAGACTTTATCTTTAAATTAAGCACTTTTTGTTTTTATGTTGATATTGGCCTTCCAAATTATTTCTTGAATGTTTTCGGCTTCGTCTACATCAGTGTTTCTCAACCTTGACAATTTTAAGGCATGTGGACTTCAACTCCCAATGCTGGCTGTGGAATTCTGGGAGTTGAAGTCCACATGCCTTAAAATTGTCAAGGTTGAGAAACACTGATCTACATGTTCATGTAAACTATTGCTGTACAGTTTGATGTATAGAGATATACATTTTTGTATTGTTAATCTGTACAATTCTCCTAAGTCTAGGATTTTTGTAAAATATTTTAAGAATTTTTCTCAACTAAGCAAAAGAAAAAAATATTTAATGCACAACAAATAGAAAATAAATATTTTATATAGATTGGGACATAAGGAGTATGAGGATCATCTATATTAAAATATGTTGTTTTGGATGACCAATCTTTCTAATAAGTATATTGGCCGGATGACCTACTGGTTACTATGTTGCATCTACAGTAGCAAACTGAAAAGATAAAGAGATGCTATATGTGTGATGAATTTATGTTATTGCAAACAATTTATTTTCATAACAACATTGCTCTTTTCAAAAAACAAATAAGACTCTTATCCCAAACATAATTATCTAGGAGTCCAGTTGAACTGAGTACAAATGCATAATTACTTTCTAAGAATCATAAGACAGTAGTTTTCAGTTTCTGCATTATGTTTGATTTGTGACAAAGGCAACCCTCACTTGGAGACTTTATATATTGTTCCTTTTTCCAGTGGATGAAGATGAATGGCAACATCTGCAAAGCAAAAGTTTCTATCAAGCTAGCCATATGTTCAGCACAATGATATCTAAATGTATATAGCTTTCCTGGCCCCTAGGCTAATTTGTATAGGTGCCAAATCTGTCTCTGAATTCTGGGAAGTACTAGTTAAAATCTTCACAGCATAATTTTTCCTCCCTACTTTTTTCTTTTGTAACCTCAAGGGTCACTATATAGCTTTGTTCATTCTTATTGACATATTTGCATTCAGTTTTCCTCTTAAATTTTTAACAGAAATTTTAATTTTCTGTGTGGACATATACACATTCTACACATATTAGTTATTTGCTTCTCTCTCTGCTTTTTTGTTTCTTAGACATATAACATAGTAATAGTTATTAACCATACATAGTAAAAGATCTAATAGTAGCTTGATACTTGTTATATCTAATTAATGGGATTTAAATTTCCTGAGAGAACATTTGAAACTGTCTCATTATGGTCTCTTCATGATATCTCTGTTGAGATTCTAAGCAACAGGTGCCCCATTGGTCAATTTTTGTGAGATATTTCCTTATCTAAACAGAGAAACAGAATGACTATGGGTGGGCAAAAATGCAGTGGGAATGCAAGTGAAACTTCCTGCTGGCTTCTCCATTGAGTTTTCTTTTGGGAAGCTGGCAGGGAACATCAGAAATCCATCCATCCTTCCTTCCTTCCTTCCTTCCTTCCTTCCTTCCTTCCTTCCTTCCTTCCTTCCTTCCTTCCTTCCTTCCTTCCTTCTTCCCTCTCTCATTCCTCCCTCCCCTCCCTCCCTCCCCTCCCCTCTCCTCATTTGATCACAGGATGGTTCAGTAGTTGTCAATACAGGTCAATTGCCAAGTACTCAAATCAAGATTGTGGGAATGCTGCAATGGCCAGAACATTGAGTTTGAACTTTGAGTATTCAGTGCCTTTGTAATTTTGAACAGTCAGTGAGCAAGTAATCAGTAAACAAAGACTATCTATAATCACTTTTAAGAAATCATAAACTGTTGTGAGCTGTCACATTCCTTCTTTTCTTTCCTTCTTATCACACATTTGCCTCAAAAGTCGTGATGTACATTGAGGTTATTAACTGGGCTGTCAGCTAGGCTAATTTTAGATTGCCTCAGCTTTAATGTTAAGAACCAAAGTATGCTAATAATAATCTTAATAATGTAATGGTTGCCACTTCCTACTAATTAATGAAGGGAAAAGATTTTAAAATATTTTGTGGACTCTTTTTACATTGGAGCAAATATACTGTTGTCTCTAAATTCACCACTAGGAGCATTTCTGAAGTTCTGAATGTATGTGATGAGCACATTTCAGAAAATAGTTCCTGTTCTATGCATGGTGGCATTTTCAAGATTCCAATTTGGACAGAAGACTGTGCATAGAGTTCTATACCTGGAGATATAATTAGATATGGAATCAGGACAGCACTGCAGCAACTTAACAGTGGAAGGAGGCCTACATTAAATTATTTATCTTTAGGAGTTTTCTGTAAAATTAACCGTTGGAAATCTTACATAAACTATGAAATGAAAATTAGCTTTTGCTGGTTTTATTTTGATACGTTTCCTTGTTTGTACAATATGTTATTCTTACCAAGAAGAAAGGCAAAATCAGAAGGAAAATTGAAATCTAGATATAACAGAGAAATCAAGCTTTATCATTTATGTACATTTGCTATAATGTAATGTTACTATTCTGTCATTCATGGATTAACATTACATGTATAAAAAAGCAAATTATGGATAAAACTGGGTTTCTTCCTAGCTAAAGTTCGCAAATCCAATCTTAACACACTTGATCATGGTGCAGATATAATTCTAAACTATAATTAAATTAAAAAGAGAGAGACAAGGAAATTCTACTAAATAATATGGTATGAACTCTTAAATGTGAGAGAAACAAAAGTAGAATAAAGTTGTTCTGTTAAATTTGGAATCTTAAAATTGACTAGAAAATGGAAAAACTGCATTCCATTTTCTCAGGGATCACATGGACAATGAGGTGTTTTATTATTTTGGACCATTTAATAATCTTTTGGCCTAGACTCTTTAAAAATACTGTAGACATTTAAAACAATGCAGGAAATATATTCCATTCCCTTAAAAAAGTGGTAATTAGTGCATAAAGAAGTATAGAATATCTTATTTGCCATGTTTAGTATAGTTTCTGCATGTTAAGTCTTGGAGTAAGTCCAGTGTGTTCTTTAAAATCTTTAACAACCTCCTTTAAAGAATTAGTGTACTTAAATCATGAACTGTGATCTAAAGGCTATGTTCCTTTAGGTATCAATTACTTCAGAAATGTGTGGTTATCTTGGTTTGGCCAGCTGCAAATGGTTTTATTTCCACTTTGCCCTGGGCCAAAAACATGCTAAGTTGTCCAAAGCAAATGATAAACATGGATTTCTGATGTCATTATGGCCCAAACAGGATATGATTGTTTGGCGG